CCTAAATCCGAAATCCCAAACCCTACACCCCACACCCTTAAAAGTAAAAGAACGAAGACACCAATGATCATTCGTATTGCTTGTATTCATACAGATATATGCACACACACACACACCTACTATATCTATGTCTACATCTTTCTCTATGCATCTATTTGTCTATCTATCTATCTATCTATCTATATCTGTATTTCTTCTCTCTCTCTCTCTATTTATTTGTACCTGTATATCTGTATATCTATATATCTATACATCTCCCTCTCTCTCTCTATATATATACACATATAATAGATACATATATCTATATACCAGCAGCATACAACAAGACCCGGCTCTCAGATCATGCGGCCGGACCCTGAGCAGAAGCCCACGGAGATCGCTCGGCCGGTTGAGGACAAATCCATCCGGTTTAGTTCTTTTTTGTTCTTTTTTGGCCTAGGGGTTTTTTCTCGGGATTAATTTTTCTTCTTTCTTTTTTTCTAGGGTTGGGGGTTTAGGATTCAGAGTTTTTGGGTTTAGGGTTGAGGGTTCAGGGGTTCAGGGCTTCAGGGGTTCAGGGTTTAGGGTTTAGGATCTTTTTTGGCTTAGGGTTTCTACTATGAGGGTTAGAGAAGGATTTCGGGACTTAGGGGAGGTGGGGTTGATGGTTCAGGGTCGAAGGCGTATTTTTGGGGTTAAGTAAGGTTGAGGGTTTGGGGGGTTAAGGGTTTGGGGGGTTAAGGGTCTAGGGTGCCCTAAACCTTAAAGCCTAAACCCTACAAGAACCAGAGCTCAGGTTGCTACTGGGATGACGAGGGGGCCTACAGGCCGAGGTCCTGAGGGTTTTGCTCGAAGAACTCGCGAAGATTCTGAGGGTTTCGGGATCTGTCTAACCTCATCTTCAGCAGGGGTAGGACTCGAATTCGCCCTAAACCCTAAACCCCCAAACCCCTAAACCCTAAATCCGGGTTTAGAGTTCAAGGTTTAGGGTTTAGGGGATTCGGGGGTTTCGGGGACGCCTTGGGCTCTCCTTACTACAGGACAGCGAGGAGGTCCGCCTCGAGCTGGGCCACTTCGTAGCCTCGCTCCTCCAGCGGCCGGGCGCTTGGCACTTTGAAGGGAGTTTAAGATACCAAAATACATTATTCAATGCTACAACATACTTTTACCATTCAAGACTATAAATACTATAATATGCTCTAATATACTCTAATATACTATAGTATACTATAGTATACTATAGTATACTATACTATAGTATACTACAACATACTATAGTATACGATCATATATTATAAAATATTACTATCTACTATACTATAGGTGGGCCTCCCTCCAAGACGAGTCTTGTGCTTTGGGTGCTGACTGTGGACGCCCTGCTGCGCGTAAGCAAGAGGATGCATCGCAGCATCTTCGAATGGCGGCTCCAGGTCGAGACAGTGACACGAGCTGTGTTGCAGACATGCTCGCCGCGGGGATGATTGTTGACAAAGGTGCAGCCCGATCCAGATCTACTCCTATATTGATGAGGCGCGGAGCTTCTGGATGTCGCTGCGAGGCTCTAAGCCTCTAAGCTCCAGGCACAACCCACACAAGTCCTTAGTTGCTGATCCTTTAGAAAGGTGCCGTGGTATGCCAGAGTATTCACAATCGTGTCCAGTTTGTCACGTCAGGCGACAGGTCTCATCCGTGCGCAAGCGATGGATCCGTTCCACGGGGTCAAGGCCGGCACTGGAAGCTTCAGGCTCTACCCCTGGCGAAGTTATATCTTCCTCGCCTGAGGTCTGTGGCCTCTAGGATGTGATCGACGTGCCTCAACCCATTCTTGCATCAAGTCCCTATGTCAGAACCGGAGGTCCCCGTAGGCGAAGGCCGCGCAACGCCCGCAGGCCCTGGCTTGCGACACCATGGTGACGTTCTGCAGCTTGACGAGCAGCGATGTCCGACTGGCTAAGCTGACGGTTCCCGCGGTTTATAGACAAGTCGAACACGGCTGCAGGAAGCATGGACGCGAGAGCGTTACAGTGTAAGCTTTCTGCAACACGCCTGAGACCACACCTGCAGACGCATCGTGCTGGATCTGCAGGCTACAACAACAGAGAAATGCTACTGCACTTTGCGCTGCCGCTGGCCCGCTCACTGACGTGCCCAGATTGAGAGGGCAAATTGGGTTTTACCAAAGACTTCCATGATTGGCGGAGGTGTGGGTTTCGGCAATGGCGGTCGGTGTGATTCCTGTCCGTCTTTAAGTCTTGGGTCGATTGAGTACATGGTTGTTGGGTCAAGACGGCCCGCCAGCTTGCCGTGGAACCGTACTTGGACCATCTTGGACCACTTAGAACGTGCGTGTAGCTGGTGATGCCAGCTGCAACGCCATGAGTGCTGAACATGATGCTAAAATCAAAGGCGAGCATTGACAACACGATACGCGGTAAGAGTCGTGAGGGTAGGGGCAGCGGTGTTGGTGGTAGTAGTGGTGGTCGTTTAGGTGGCGAGTGTTGCACTGCTATCGCTTCGGCTCGGTTGCCTAGAAAAAGCCACTGGCAAACTGAAGAAGCTCTCGTGGCGAAGGTCCTGCCTCACCCACAACCATGCCAAGCTGCGGATCGCTGGCTTGCGTGCTATCACCGCTTGCCTCTTCTGTGGTGTCGGGCTCTCAGGCTCGCGTGGCCCAGTCTTCTGAGAGCATCCGCTCCGAAAAGAGCAAGCTTCGTCGAATCAATAATTGGGAGCCTTGTGCAGTTTTCGAGGTGTGGAAGCACAACTTCGAGATTTTCGAGGTGCTCATGGCATGGCAGGACCCAAACAAGGCACGGGTTGCGGGGTCTAGGGTTTAAGTTTCCAGCACGGGTTTGATTTTTGTGGGGTTTTAGGGACCGGAATGCACTGCGAAGCCAGCCTCCACCCTTGAGCACCGCCATCGCTCTGGGACAGGTTCCGATAAAGGCGTTCTACGAGGGCGTAACGAATGCATCTCGTCTCCCTGTGAGGTGGCACAGCAAGAGAGGCTCGTGGCCCTCGCTTGTGCAGGATTTCCTAGGTATCGGCTTGGAATAGTTGATGGGAGCCATTGCGAAGTGATGTTCGGGTGGTCCAATGGAAGAGCGGGTTCGAGATCCTCAACACCGTAGGACGACAGGCCTGCTCATCGTATGCCTAAGGTCAACTACATGTCCACCTTGAGCTTCGATCGCCACCCGGCAGTGCGCCGGTTTTGGTTCGAAACACTCGCGTACTGGATGATACGATGTGTGGACAAGGCCTGTCTTGAGCTTTTGGTCTTCTTGCACACCGTTTTTCAGACTCAGACACGTAGTGCGAGACTAAACCCTAGACTCCTAGACCTTAAGCCTCGACCTTAAGCTTTTAACCGCAAGCCCTAACTCCTTAACAGGTGGACCTGGAGCCGTACATAGCTCCTTACCTGCTGACGGGCTTGTGCGACGAGAATGAGGACCAAACCCTGGCCAAATCACCCAAAACCCAAAGCCCTAAACCTCCTAAAACCCTGAAGCTCCTGAGCCCGAAGCCTCCGAAACCCTAAACCTCCTAAACCCTAAACCCCTACACCCCGAAGCCCTAAACCCTATACCTCCTAAACCCCCTTAAACCCCTACACACCTCCTAAGCCCTAAAAACCTGCGAAGGAGATCGCCTTGGAGGTCTTCTGGCTCATCGAGCGCATCGGTGAGGCCTACGAGGAGGAGCACGAGGAGGACCTGGCGGTAAGAGGAAGCCCTTACGGTTTAGGGCTTAGGGGTGCCTAGGAAGTTTAGTTGGGATGTTTTCTGGGTTTAGGGGTTTCGGGGGTTTTGGGTTCAGGGTTTGGGGTTTTGGGCTCGGGATTTGGGGCTTAGTTCAAGGTGTATGGTATGTTTAAAAAACACCGAATCTCTCTTGTTGTTCCGACGAAAGGCCCCTGTTACTTTTTTTTTGAGGGTTTAGGCATGAAGACTTAATCCTGATGTAGACAGTTGAGGAAAGCCGCGTCATCTGCGCAGCATGCAACTCTGTGTTCGAAACGCCACTACCCGAAGGTTGATCTCTGGGTTCAGGGTTTGTGTTGTCTGCTGGGGCCGATGACCCACGGCTAGACTGGTACCCTTGTGCGCGCTCTGCTACAGTAGCATCCGGAAGGGGCAGCTGGGCTGTCAAGGTGTCTAGCAGGGAAGCCCGTGCAAATGCTGCCCTGGCAGGACCTGCGGAAAACGAAGCAGTATGGCAACTTGTCTGATGATTCCGTCATGTGCACGACTTGTTTGTAAGGCACTTTTCGTCCCGCTGTTGGAATTTTTCGAGGCTGCCAGAACCAGAAAGGTTAGGAGTGGCAAGCCGTGAAGCTTGGAGTCTGGTAGACCGAAGGCAACGCCCTCAGAGCCCTCAGAGCCCGGCTGCATCCTTGGGGCCAAAGCTCGCTTCGCAATGGTAGGGTTTTCTTGCTTTCTTTGGAAATGTCCGAGGCTTCGATTATACCTGGACCTACAGCGGGCGGGCGTTTGTGCCGTTTCCGCTCCAGGCAGGAGCACGGAAGCTACCAGGTCTTTGAGCTCCCTAAGCCCTAAGCCCTCAGCCCTAAATCCTAAACCTACCCTAAACCCCAAAAAACCCTAAACCCTAAACCCTCACCCTAAACCCTAAGATCCTTCAAAGCTGCCATGCAGGGCATCTGGGGCGGCGGCTCCTCTGTTCCGCGGCACATCAGGTGCCCTGTAGGGGGCTCAAAGGGGCCTCTCACTCCCGGTGAGGGCAGCATGAACCCAACGCAAATCCCGCAGCCTCTATGAAGGGTTTAGGGTTTGGGGTTTAGGGTTTAGATACCCTTCACCCATCTGTAAGTCCATGACAGCTCCACAGTCAGCTAATACAGAAGAAGGAATCACTACAAGACACACTGCAACCCCAAAAAGAACACTGCACACAAACGAGCAACCAGGCGAAAAGAAAGACAGCAAGAGGATGACATTTAATTCAACTTGAAGAGCACATCTTAACCGAATCGCGTAAAAAGCGCTAGAAGAGACCCTGAGGAAGTCCTTGCAACCCCTGTAGCAAACCCTTGAGCAGGAACCCCAAATTACCTGGGCCACCAAGACTTGGGCAGTTCTCTAAAATAGGGTCCCGTTTTGGAGCCTTTTTCTATAAGGGTGCCGTACTCTATTGGGGACTTCAAAAGGGGACCCGATTCGGCCCTAATCTGGAGAACTAACCACTTGCAGCAGGCGCACCGGCGCCCAGGGGCCGGATTTTCTTGGCCACCGCCCGCTGCCCGAGCATCAGCATCGGGAGCGATGCGCCCTTTCTGTGGGGTTTTTGAGGGGTTTGTAGGGGTTTTTAGCAGTGTTAGGGGTGTTAGGGATGCTAGGCTAGGACTTTCCCGGCAATTCTAGGGGGGCAGGGCTTGGAGGGCGTGGGGGCAAGTCTAATTAGGCATTTTGGAGCTGCGGTGCTTTTCTTCGGTTTGGGAAAACGAGGTGCCCCTTGTTCAGACATCTTCAACAGAAAGCTGCAATGTCAGGGCTCGGTTCTCGCTTGTGTCTGAAATTTCCATGCCGAAGGAGCAGTTGGCAAGCGAGGTGGAGGATCCTGACGAGGACCCAGCATAGTACGTTCAGTTTGCATCATGGTATAGCATATTCAGCTATGTGTAGTGCCCTCAAAGCTCCCAGACGAGAACCCCACGATCCGAAGCCTCACAAGTGGGGACTGCCAGCGACGAACGTGACGAGCGCTCAGGGACCCTTTCGCACACGCAGTGCATCGCGAGCATGTGCGTCGCATCCGCGTGCCTCATCCCACGAATTCGACTTGGCGTGTGCCCCTCACCAATAATATACTACAACATACTATAACATACTGTAACATGCTATAATATACTATAATATACTATAACATACTATAATATACCTACAATATACTATAGTATACTAAGCCAACTCTTGCAGTCGCTTCGCAGTCGCGACGACCTTGGAAGCGGAAGCCGTCTCCCGAAAGCCGAAACTCAAACTACGGCCCTTCACTCTGAACCCTAGAGCCGAAGCTTAAACTTGACCCTGAACCCTAAACCCTAAGCCCTAAACCCTAGAACCCTAAACCCTATAAAACCCTATAAAACCCTATAAACCCTAAAACCCTCTTTCGAAGCCCCCCCAAAAAACGCCCCAAACCAAGCCTGCAGGATGCCATGGACCCGCAGGACCGCCGGGCCTTGGGGACGCGGGCGGAGCTTCCGAGCCGCCTCTCGGCGCTGTGGCTTTGGGTTTTAGGTGTTTTAGGGGTGTAGGGTTTAGGGGTATTAGGGTTTTAGGGTTTAGGGGTGTTGGGTTTAGGGTTTTAGGGTTTAGGGGTATTGGGTTTAGGGTTTTAGGGTTTAGGGGGTGTAGGGTTTAGGGGTGTAGGGGTTTAGGGTTCAGTTTATGGCTCTTGGAGGGTTCAGGGACGTTTGTCGCTCTTTTTAGGACATGGGTTACCCTAAGGGAGTTCGTAGAATCAGCAGGGTCTGGAAGGCCATTTTGGGACGATGCGCCTGCTTGCATTTATGAAAGACGCAGAGCTTTTGTTTTTGTCAGATGCTGGTGCTCAGCGCTTGTCCTGATCTTAGGTGACAGTTGCTGGCCAGATGCTTGGCCGCAGCTGAGGGTTGGAGAGGGCAAGGCGGGCAAGGCGCGTGGGACAGCATGTCGATTCTAAATGTTTTCATCTTGCGCCAAGCCTGAGACCCTAGTACCCCGGAACCCTGCATAGGTCGAGAGCCAGGCCGGGGTTTCGCGTAGCTTCTGTGCCTGGTGTGTAGCATCCTCAGGGCTTGGCACCTGAACGCTTGTGTGCTGCACGTCTTAAAGCAGCAACGCGGCTGAGGAGTTTCGGGATCTGGCTGTGTACCGCCGGCTGCCGCGGCCGCGGCTGGGCTCGCGATCTTGGGTTGGACCCCAAGTGCACTCTTCGCAGTCGCGTATCTTTCAGGCTTGGGCCGCTTGGGGCTTAGTAGGGCTTGCCTCTGACGTCAGGTGCTGCTTTTGGGGCATGCCGTCGAGTCACCGAACGACCGAAGAAACAAGGGAGGGGTCCGCGGGTCCGTTGCCGAGGTGCGAACCCACAGCCGGCGCTTCATCAAGGTCATGCCCCCACTGGAAAGTTTCAGCATCGGAATGGTTGGGGTAAGGAATTGGGATTTTCGGCTGAGGGTTTCGAAAGAGATCGCCGCGAACCGAGACAGAACAGGCTTGACCCTCCTTACTCCTCGAGATCCTGATACTGTCTTCAGGCCACCTTCAATGACGTCGTCGATTTTCGCGACTTGCCAAGACTTGGAAGCCACTTTTTGGTTGCTTGGAACAGGTCCCGTTTCTTCCTAGGTGTGGCACATGACCCTGCAAAGAACCCCACCCGAAACCTTGCCGCCCGCAAAAAAAAGACAGGACCCCACAAATTGCAATTTGCCGATGGCCCTGCAGCAATTCCCAACAGTAGAGACCCCAAAAGCATCCACGGAGGCCAATCCGGGCCAGACCAGCCAGACACGTAGGAAAACCAGTGTTCAGCTAAACAGCTAGGAAAGATGGTCCCCATCACAACCACGAGAAGCAGCAAATCCGCCTTCCTGAAACACGCATCTTTGAGCTAACAGGTGACTGCACGTCCTTGAACGCCGGCCGCTTGCTGTGCATGTCTCTAGCCTACACCGAAGAAGGCGCGGGAGGGAGAGGGGTCAAGGAGCACCTGAGGCCTCCAAAAGTGGAAGCTATACTAAGAGCTCGCAGTAGGGCACCCTCGTGTTTGCCAGGGGTCACCGAGTGGCTGCAGCCCATGATGGCGGCGCTGGTCAAGCCCCTCATCTTGTTACTCCGGAGACGCACAGAGAGCCCTTAGCCTTCGCCGGGAACACAGAGAGCCCGACCCCTCAAGGTTGAACATGAAACAAGAGGGCTTTCATCTTCAAAAAGCAGCAGAGGACAGACCTCGCCCCGAATCGGCCAAGGGCCTTTAACCACAAATCCTAAACCTTAACCCGTTTCAGTCATCCTAACTCTTGAGCCATAAACCCCCGTCATCACCCCCACCCCTGAATGGTCCCTAAACCGTAGACCCCCTAAACCCGCTTAGACCCTGAAAGAAGCCTCAACCTTTTTCAACCGTAGACAATAGCCCAACCTTGCCCAAACCCCTAACCCCCCCTTGAAGACAGCCTTTTAGGTTTTACTCCGGACGGGCCTGGGCAGCTGCGGATGCCAGGTGCCGGTTCTTTGCGACTCCATGACCTCGTAGGAGGTTTCACCTTCTTTCTGGGTTTAGGGTTCAGGGTTCAGGGTTTAGGGTTTAGGTAGGAGGCTGCTTGAGAGGGACATATCGATAGAAAGATCGATAGACAGATAGATAAATAGCTAGATAGCTGGATAGCTGGATGGATAGGTCGATAGATCGAGAACAAGATAGATGGTTTTGGTTCTCATACGGGTTCCTGGAAGTGGTCAAAAGTGGGTTCAGCATTTAGGGTGTCGTGTACAGGGTCTAAGGTTTAGTGGTTAGGGGGTTCGTTTTTTCAGGGGTTTTGAGGTTTTGGGGTTCCTGTAAGGTTTCCTCTAAGCGAGCTCGTGGTTTTGAAGATGAGGGTTCCTTTAAAGGGTGTGGGGTTTAGGCTTTGCATCGACGGAATATCAGTAGTAGTATTGGTCGAAAAGTCAGTCGAGATAGCAGTAGTGATAAGAGCAGCAGTAGAAACACAAGTAAGGGCCACCATGCCCATTCCCGACACACGAACTGCAAGCCCCCCAAACACTCTGAAATCTGAAACCTACTACCCACAAGCATCAGTGAATCAGGGCCTAAACCCCAAATCCTACACCCTAACCACCCACGCACCCTAACACCCTTAGCGCCCTGAAAAAAGGTTGCCCGGAACCCCTGAACCCTGAACCCAAGACCCTAGAGCCGAAAGCCTGCCAGGGCCATGCAGACCTACAGCACCGTCTGCAAGCTGCTCGGGGCGCTCCTGGAGCCAACTTCTCTCTGGACGCAGCTGAGGTGCAGGGACCTGAACATCAGGACTGAGCTTTGGTTAAGGAATTAATTTGAAGTACCGTCATGGGCATCTACGGTAGATAGCACGGCTTTCATGTAAGTTCGATTCCTCAAGAGTGCCCGAATGTTTAGAACCCCTATCGAACCCCGTATAGGAGCCTGATGGTGCCCTGCAGAAGCCTCTGATGTTTAGGGTTCAGGGTTTTGTTGCTTCTGAACCCAACAGCTTCGCTGAGCCACCCTGAGATGTTTATGTCGGCCTCAGGGGAGCCCTGGACGCAGACTCGACCATGGTGGCCGGGCTTCAATTGGGGGGTGTTTAGGGTTTCGGGTTACAGGGGTTACTCTAAACCCTAAACCCTAAATGGGCGGTTTTAGGGTCTAAGGGTTGGGCCTTAGGGCGTCTCCGTGGTTCGGTCTCATGGCCTTGGTTTAGGGTGTGGGGGTTTTCGGGTTTAGGGTTTAGAGTTTACGGTGTAGGGTCAGGGCTTAAAGTTTACCCTTCCGGCATTGAGATGCTGCTGTCATCTTCCGGAGTGTAAGTGGCAAGCTGTTTGGAGTCAGTTACCCCTAGCAATGCGAACTATCTTCTTCTGCAGATGCGAGGCTTTTCCTGCGCACCCTCGAACTGACCTTAACGGGCCAGGTCAGCGCATATCAGTAGCGTGTTCCCCCCCTTGCAGCTGTCAGGCTTCTAGTGGGTTCTTGTGCAGGAACTTAGATGCTTAGTTTTAAGTGGGCCATCATATGGATCTATAGTAACTACTATGATTTCCGCATTAGGGTAACGGAAAACCGTCCTTGACAAAGGCCCCAGTCAGCCATCCATACCCTAAGCCGTAAACCCTAAACCATCAAGGACCTGGATCAGCGCATCGCAAGCGTCCGGATACTGGCCATGGCACTGGAGGGGCACGTCGAGGCTGGGGTGCGGAGGATTGTCGGGGCATTCGCCGGGAGTCTGAGCAAGGAGCCATCCGCACATTGATTCTAACGACTGATGATACTCTTTTGTAGTTTTATATTGTAGTCCCGATACAATGAATACTAATCAAGCTAGAGTTGATCCGCGACGCTTGAGCGATTTGTCCCAGTCACCACCTGCAGGTATTGGAGAGCATCCAGCCGCCGGACTCCTGTGAGTGTGAGGGTTTCGTGTAATCCAACGGCAGTCTTTGAGTTGCATGCCCATTCCAAAGGACCCCAAACCCTAAACCCTAAACCCAAAAATCCATGGACTCTGAGTTGCTTGTGCCGATCGCGAGCCGGAGCACGCAACCGTAGCAACATCGGCAAGCATGGCATTCCGTCCTTTGTAGGAGGTTACCTACCACACCTAGACCTTCCTTCATGTACCTCCTTGCTCTATGGTGGCGTTCATGTGAGATATGGCTCAATCCATCCATGGCTGCGAAGCAGCTTTTCAGGTCCTATGGATTGGGTTGTTGAGACGCGGATCAATAAAACCCCGAACCTCAAAGGGCCTAAACCCTAAACACCACCCGGTTTTTACTTCTGAGATCCCTTAGCTCCTGATACCCGAACATCCTGGAGCCCAAAAGCCGGGTGCTCCAGGATCCATCCCTGGGCCTTGGTCAGTTGGAGCCGGTTTTGCCGGAGCTCATCGAGACCTGCCGGAATACGGCGTTTAGGACTTGAGGCTTCAGGGTTTATATAGGGATCGTGGGTTTAGGTTGTAATGGCTCGCCATAGTCGAAGCCTTTGCAGCAGAGAAAGACAAGAGGAACAACAGTCGCACATATGAAAAGAGTCAGGCAAAAACGAGGTAGTAACATGTGTGAGCTTGAAGTCGTCAGTGCTCAGGGCAAGTAGCAGACGTCACCGTATGGTGAATAAGTGCAACCGTAGTCGTCACCATCACCACCACCATCATCATCATCATCACAATCATCATCATCATCAGCAGCAGCATCATCATCAGCAGCATCAGCATCATCGTCATCACCATCACCATCACCATCACCATCATCATCATCATCCTCACGCTCACCCTCACCCTCGCCCTCACCCTCATCCTCATCCTCATCGTTCCTGGTGATCCTCTCGGCCTCCTTCTCCTCCTCGTCCCTGTCCGTCCTCGTCCTCGTCGTGGTCCCGGTCGTCATTCGTCATCGTCATCGTCGTCGTCGCCATCGCATCGCATTACCACCACAAGAATCACCATCCTTGTCGCAGTTCTGCGAGACTGTTTGTGGCAGCAAAGCTAAAAAAAGCTGTTACCACCGCCGCCACCGCCACCACCGCCACCACCGCCACCACCGCCACCACCGCCACCACCGCCACCGCCGCCGCCACCACCGCCGCCGCCGCCGCCACCACCACCGCCGCCGCCGCCACCACCACCACCACCACCACCACCATCACCGCCGCCACCACCGGAACGCCGACACTGATGGTAAGAGTATTGGGAAGGTGCAATTTACTAGCATTCCAAGCTGCTCGGAAAGCCGAGGATGCCGTGCACGGCTCGGATCTGCTTCTGTCGCCAACGCCGGAGTCGCGCGAGGCCACGATGTCGGGAGTTCCCTCGGGAATTATGCGAGCGGATAGTGGCGATGGCCACGACGATGACCATGACCATGATGCTGAATATGGCGAAGATGAACATGATGGCGGTGGTGGTGCTGATGCTAACGGCGATGGTGGGCTCATCTGCAACATCTTCGTCATCAATGCTCACGGACGGACGTTGTGTCAATGATCGTCAGCATATGCGGCAACCACACCAACTGTAGTAGCATCGCCACACGATGCAACGGCAATAGCACGGGATGTAACGTGTTTCGCCGGCCTTTGTGTTTCTCTTCAAGTCGATACAATCCGCGGAGGGTAATTGGAGGGTTCCAACAGCATCGTGTCTGAAGTTATCCAGCTGCAAGTTTCTGTCATGATGCACTGTGAGGTTTTTTGAGGCTCTAGATAGAAGGTGTTGGGCTTCGTGTTCTGGCACACCGGGAGAGCTCGAATGGTTGCAACGGACAGTGGGGTTTGCGAGCTGTTTCATGCTTGGGAACCTCAGGGAAATCCTCGAAGCCAAGGCTATGTGGATGCTCCTGTCGGCCTTCCTGGAGCCCCTCCGGCCCTTCCTGACGGAGAGCCTGCAAGGGCCAGTGAGTGTCCTACTGTCTTGCCCACAAACAACCAGCACAGGCTGAAACAAGCGATGATGCCAGTTTAGTGCAAACAAAGACCCGAGCAGCATACCCTGCTTCAATCAAGCTAAGACAAAGGAGCATAGATCATGCAACATGTGATGACAGGCGGAAAGCAACTAGAAAGCAGTTGTCCTGAAGCCGTAAACAGAGCTTTCCTCTAAAGACAGCGATCAAACTAAACCTTAGCCTCGAAGCCCCAACTAAAAACCCTAAAGCAAAAAGAGTCCCCAGATCTTTAATGGTGACTTTAAACACCATGATGATGATGATCATCATGGTCGTCATCATTTTCTTCGTCGTCGCCATCATCGGCATCATCGCCATCATCATCATCATCATTATTTTCATGGTCACCATCACCCTAAGCATAAAAAAACGCAACTCACGAGCAAAAGCAAAGCCATGGCACGAAGAACCAGCGAGTCTTCCAACAAAGCATAGCAAGGCACGAGAGAGAGGGAGGCTGAAAAGACAACGAAGCACCAGACCCTGGAGCCCCTCGGAGTCTCCTCAGGGGGCCAGGATCCCGGCCATGATTCCAACCGCTCTGCGTTTACGATCTCCTGAGGGTTCTTTTTGTTTACAGGGTTTAGGGTTAAGGACGGGCTTAGGGAGGGCTTCTAGGCTTTGGGCTTGGGGCTTTCGGGTGCAGGTTTGCATCTCGCACGTGTCGCTGCACGTCGGCGCAGGAGTCGCAAGTCTCCCAGCTGCTGTTCATCTCCCTAGCGTTGGCGTCGAAGGTGCATCGCAAGTGCATGCTTTCGTTTCGAGTTTCCCTTCAGAACGAGTACTGCCACCGTGTGACCGGGACGCCTATGGTCCCTTTCAACCCGTTATCTTTGTCCTTCTCTCCGTGATCACGGAGGCTAGTTTATTTTGTAGGAGCTTGCGGCTGTTGCCTTTTATCATGTTGCTGCATCGGCAAACGGCTCTCCACCCGCTCCAGAGCCTCGTATGGATCCTCCGCAGGGAAGGACCTCCTTACCCCGTTCCCGTCGTAGCCATCGCCGCGGACCCAGACCCATGCTTCAATGACATCGCAGCCGCTTCATCTCCATCATCACGGTCATCACTGTCATCAACCTCATCGCCATTACCCACTACCAGCAACATCATCAAAGCTTTCTCCGTTAAACATCGTTAGCATGGCGACTACTGCCACTGCAGTGCATTTGTCTTTTTCCAAGAATTTCTTGTCTCCACGTGTGTAGCACCGTCCAGGCTCCTGTGGAAGAGCTACCTGAGACCGTCAAAGCGAAGAAGGCCTCGACGTGGCCTGCCTCCTGATATGTCGCATGTGTCTACCGGAAAACCCCATGCCTACACGCTTAACCCCTAAACTCTAAATCCTGAACCCCAAGAATGGCCCTAAACTCGACCGCATTCGTGACGAGGGATTGAGATGAACTCCAAGTCGTTGCATGTCAGATGTAGAAGAGCTGCTCGGTGAGGTCGTACGCCTTTACAACCCTGATACTGTCTGTGTATATATATATATACATATAATTGTATACACATTCTCCCTTTATCATTGTCATTACTGTTATTATTGTTGATATTGGTGCTGTCATAACTGCTGTGTCTACCACCATTATTATACTGTTATTTAATGCTGATATCAATATCAAATAGTATTAACAATAGTTATTATTGAGATATGTTTGAGTAGCATTACCCTTACAGTTTAACTTATGCTGCGCATATCATTGCCCTTATTATGATACCCTCAATATTGTCATTAACCTCGATTTCCACAGTGTTGCGGTGGTGTGGCGGCAGCGAAGGTTTGACGCGGTTTGAGTTGGGAATTTGGCCACACTCGGAGGCTTGCTCCTGCGACAGTGTGTCAGATGTCCTAGTGCAGGCTCGCAGGTGCAATATCGGACAAGACAGAAAACGGGATACTTTAGAACAAATGTCCGCTTCTAGCCCCTGAAATAAATGTACTTTCGTAGAATGTGCCCCAAATCTCTCGTGCCCTGGACCCTAAACCCTACTTCCGACGACACAATCTGAGGACCTTGAGCCAGGTGGCAGACAACGAGGACCGTTTTTTGAGTTTTAATGAGTTTCTAAGGGTCCAGGGGTTAGGGTTCAGAATTTATCAGTTTTGAGGG